TGAATCAACTGAAAAATGCTCATGTTTTGCCCCCCAACAGTTGAGGAAAGTCCTTTTCATCCTAGTTGTTACAGTTTTCCCATCTATCATTGCAGTGGTTTGATTAAAAGTTCAAAATTCAATGTTTAAATTTTAACCCAGCCTTTTGTGTTGACTTCATGGCTCATTTTGTAGAAATTAAGCGTATAATAGGATGCCTAGACCTGTTTTTATTTTTATTTTTTTCGCCATGTCGCTTCATATTTTTTCTGAAAAAATCCGAGAACCAACAAATTAAATTGGTGTGGCCTTATGACTCAAATGAACTGTGGCATGATACCACAGAAGTGAACTGTTATGATACCACTTACTAGTAGTGATATATTGTTGTGTTACAGAAATTGCAGCAAAGGTTGTATTGAGACTTAACAATTTTCAACTATTCAAGTAAGCTGTATTTACTTAGCTTGAGTTGTAACTCATACTGTTTAAGCTTTAAAATTTGATGTCATCACACAAATAGTAGCTGCGTGTAATTTTAATCTAAGCTTATGTTTTTGTCTCCCCAGTGGAAACATGACTGATGCGGAGTATGTGGTCCTGACAGAGTGGTTTGACTGGATTTTGGCCAATCAGAAGGTCCAGATTGACTTGATCGGTAATTCAAAATCTACAAATGTAGATATTCATATATCATAAATATTAGCGTATAAACAATGTACATTGTTCGTAATGATACTCATATCCATAATCAAATGTGTAGGCTGGTAAAATTTGAATACCCCCCGGTGTATGTATTAAAGAAATCCACTCAGAAATCACTATATTTGATTCTTTACAAAGCAGTATAGGGACCATTTTGCCATGAATTCTATTGTCGTTTTTATTTAGTCCTATTCTTTGTATCCCATAGTATACTTAAAGACATCCCCAGAAGTCTGCCACCAGAGAATTAAACAGAGATGTCGAGAAGAGGAGAAGGCCATTCCACTGGTAAGGACTGGAATTTCAGTTCACCACACTTTGAAAGAGCTATGCCCCAACAAAATCTACTTTCAAATTGTCCAAATGGGGCTGGGTAGTGCAGGAAAGTACCTTTCACAGTTTCAGTCATTCAATGAAAACTTTCAAAATTTTAAACTCCACTTCTGTTCTACTAGTTGTTCAACAGAAGTTTTTCTTACCTTAACCCTCATCCTGCTATAGGATACTTAAATTACCAGACTTCTACTGGTTACCACCTGAATTAGCATGGAAAAGGTACAAATACCGATAGCCTTTAGTGTTTTCTTAATTCGAGGATTGTATCATCAATTAAGGAATCCCCATGTTCTGCTGTGTTCCTCCAGGATTACTTACAGGCCCTCCACAGTGCACATGAAGACTGGTTAACCCACAAGAAGTTCCCAACTCCTGCACCTGTCCTGGTAAGTCACCTCACGATTAATATTATAATGTGTATTAACCATAAGGCCATGTTGATTTGATTATATGGATGACATCCGCGCGCGCATGAATTTTCGGCCGTTTCCAAAAAAAAAAGTTTTCAACCATACTGTAAATCGTACAAAACAGTTGCAAAATGAACAAAAATATACCATAAGTTACCAAAAAAATTAATAAAAACTATACCAATGTCGTAGAATGCCAAAATCAAACGAAAAAAGACGAAAATGTAAAGAAATGAACTTGAAGACTAGATTATTCGCCAAACCATATTCTGTGCCATTTGCTCAACCCTCATGACCAGTCTTAGATTTCATAATGAAAAGAACTTTTTTTTTTGTTGCAAAACTTTTTTTTTATTCGCACGCGCGCATCAGTTTTGGGGCTCCCGGAGGATGTCATCCATATAATCAAATCAACATGGCCTAAGCATACTTAGCTGTTGAAGAAAAGTGATTGTCAGACCGTGTGTGGTACCCCAACAGTCGAATAATTAGACTAAGGCATAGATGAGACACTGGAGTAGGCATGTGGCTACCAATTCTCTATTGGTTACCAACATAGCCAGCAAGGAGAAAGTTAAAAAGGTATAGTGAACTTAGAAGTACATGTAGCTTTAATATGAATAGTAAAATTTCGTGTGTTGTTCCCTCCAGGTACTGAATGGAGACCACAACTTGAGTGACATGTACAGTGTGTTTGAAAAGAACAGACACAAGATTCTGCTGGGCCAAAATTTGTGAGACAACGAACTAAGGAATTAGTTAAACTGACCTATGGCCTAAACATGTCATGCCAGTTGAATAGCTCTATTTAAGTTTGTTCCCAGAGACAACAACTGAGAAATGACAGAAAAGTTGATTTAACTTTATCTAAGTAGGACATCAAGTGTTGTCAAGAATGTTATGTTTTCCATGTTCGTTACAAGTACTAGTATATAATCATGTGGTTTCAAATTTACCAATCAGGATTAGTTAATGAATATGAATGAATATGAATACATGTAGTTCAAACTTATCTCTAGATTTTTTTATATGATGTAACGTTATACTAAGATATGTTTTTTTCGATGTTAACATACAGTTGCAATCTCAAAATAGGAGTAAGGTGCACTGAAATTGTAGTAAAATCATGAAACAAAAAATACAAGGATTTGACTAAAAACAACAGCATTACTGTGCTCTTCTCTAGTACATGTACTACCGGTACAATGTATATCAGTGTTATCATCAATCTTTATTAGACAAAAAGCTGATTAATAGTCAATATGTCAGCTGCAACATGTACATTGGTCCATCTGTACTACCGGTATGTATTGCTTTCATAGTCAGTTTCCCCCTGCCTTGCCTTTCTTGTTCTGTATACAAACAAGGAATAAGTGTTAGTAATACAATGTATTGTCATCTCATAAGAAACATGTAACAATTGTATATTTCTTCATATAAAACATGCATATTGTATTGCATTTGTATTCATACACCAAACAAATGTACACAAACAGTATTACATCACATTAAATCCAGTTAATTAAAAAAATATAATTGAAGTCTTCTTACCTTCTGTTTCTTATTAATCTTCTTTTTCTTCTTTCCCTCTGGAAAATAATAATCATTGAAATGATTATGCCCAGTAAATTTGTACAACATTTGAACAAAATGTGTTCAGGTAAACAAGATCAGGATATTCACTCCAACTTACCAGTAAGGTTAAAAACAGACATGTCTGTCTTGCTGTAGTCAAATGGCTGGAAGTCTTTGTCCAATTCTGAAATGTCCTGAGCTTTTCTTTTCTTTTTGGGCTTGCTGGCCGTGTCTTGTTCCGTGGGGGCACTGTTGTCTGCTTGACTATCTTCTGGAACAACAGTTACGCTAGGAGTACATTCCTCCTGTGTTTGTACATCACTGGTATCAGATGTTTTTCCTTTCTTCTTTTTCTTCTTCTTCTTTGGACCTGCGCCCTGAATAAAACAGTACAGCATGAATGTGCTAATTAGCGAAAGACTGAAATGTAGAGCTAACTGAAATGAGAAAATCATGGAACATTTTCTACAACAGTCTGAATACGAAATAGTCAATGATTTTAAACAAGTTCAAGTAAAAAGAAAAAAAATGTCACACATTTTTCAACAAAATCAGGCTATAACCTACCATTTCACTCAGTGGTACTGGTGCCTCTTCTTCAACTTGTGTGGCTGATCTCTTTAAACCCACTGAGTTATCTGTACCTGTACATCAATACAAACATTGTAAACACTTCTGCAATAAAATTGAATTGACAGAATTGACAATTTTGTTCTTTGTCCCATTGATAAGGGTTCTGAAATATTTCCTCTACAACAAAATAATACAAAATCTAACAGAGGCATAGCAGAACTTACCAGTATACACTTTGATACAAATCTTCCCATGTATGAATGGCATCACAAAATATTGGCCAAATTTGTTAAGAGAACCCTTAAGTTTATATCACCAAATACCTGGTCATGAAACTTCTAGAAGATAAACGTACCTTGTGTGACCTCTGTCTCAGCATCTTTACTCTGGCCCAGAGAAGACTTGGTCTGTTTGCTTGTGGCTGTGTTTATCTTTGACTTCACCTTGGCCTTGGTAGTTGGTGTGAACTCATGGAACCCTGGCTGCACCAGTTTGAAGGGCAGTTTCTGGGAGAAAGTAAAAAGAACTGATTCAGAAATACATCGTAGGATGGCTACATGAAATACATGGTGGCCTGCCATCAGGCCACAGTACTGCTGTGCAAGCAAGTCTATCCTTCGTAAGTCGAGGAACAACAGACGACAAACCGGAAAGTGAGTGAGTGTAAATTAGGCACTATTATGATACTTTGTCATTACTAAAAATAACTACTAGTAGTATGACCATTGTGTATTCACATTATTTCTTTACATGAATGCAAAAAAATTATTCAGTACCTTTTCAAACGGGCTTGTGAAGGAGGCCATTATTCTTGCAACCTTTTCCTGATTTGCAGAAAGTTTTCCATCAGAACTGGCAGTCCCTTTCTGAAAAAACAAAGACATGCATGTTTTTACATAATCTGAAAGATCACACGTCCCCGCCTAATAAAACATGTCTAAATAAGTTGATTATCAATGGAGTAACATAAATTTTAAAGCAAAACTTTGATTTTGGGCTTGAATGAAACATTTACCTGTGTTTTTGCTACTGTATCAAACAATGTGATGTCAGGATGTGGCTTGATGCAGGGTAGAGGAGGTTGTGACAGGTCCTTTTCCCTTCCTCCACCCTCACCAAACATGGAGGGAGTCTTCTTTACTGCAACTGTCACTAAATATGATACAAGAAAACAACTCAAATTTCAACACACATACATTTGTACTGTAACTATGTAATCTCTTCCCGTTGATCCAAATATGGAAATATGGGCTTAAACACTGGCCCTTTAAATCTACATCTGACAACTGATGTTCCATGTTCACTAACACAATTGCTACATCAATAAAACAGAAAAAGGAACAAGACAAGAAAAATACCACAGAGTATAAATGGCATTTCATTTTAAGTATCGCTCACGTAATATAGCCATGGAAAGATAAGTTTTTTAAACACGTTACCGGGGAACTGCAAGTAAAGTTAAGATACAAATGCATTTTGACTATTCCCTGACTTGAGCATTGTCTAACACCAAACCCATCTTTGTACTCATAAGGCCTGTTTTCTATAAGGTCTGTTTGTTCAATCTGACACATGACAACAGCCTACAATAATTTTATAGCCCTTGTGTCTTACCTGGAGTTGGTAGAATCTGGACATCAGGATGTGCTGTAAGTTTAGACAGGTCATGTGGACAGTACAGGTCAGCTATGCGCTCATCCTGGACTGTCTTGTCCTGTCTTTTCACAGCAGTGCTTTCAGTCTAGGAAGGACAAAAGACAGATTTTAAGAAAAAAAAACTTAAAAAGTTAAGAAAGGAGAACACTTCCAAAGTTGAAACTTGAATTAATTCTTTCACCCTACAGCTAATTTGGTGGATAAATTAAAAGGCAGCAAACATTAAAACTGTTTTCTAAATGTTTTACTTCGCAAGACTCTTTATACTGACATTTGTATTTACACTCCATGAAAATGTTGTGTACTGTTTTCAGTCTGGATGATGTTTTGTTGGTGTATATCACAAGATCTGTCAAACGGAATGCGGTGATATTTGGCAGGTAGGTAGGTGGGGTAAAGAGAATTGTGTTAGTTGACTTTGGGCCCCTGGTGATTGACCTAGTACTGCAGTAAGAATTTTTTTATAAAATCTTGTTGGTGCTGGATGGTCTGTGGATGTGATGTTAGGGTAGCATATACAGGGCTTGAAATACTGGGTGCATGTGCACCTTAGTGCACCCAAAATTGGAGCTGTGCACCCAATTTTTTTCTGTGGGTGCACTGGTGCACCCAAATATTTTTGGAGGTATTTTTGTACGTATTAAATGTATAATAGTATACAAGATTTTTTTGGCATCTATGTGTCAGAAAAATAATAAAATCTTTGGTGTAGTACTTGTTTTAAGATTTTGAAGTTAGCTCCCATTTCAGATTCAAGCCTAGAAGAGGAGCAGTAAGCAGTAAGATCCGTAACTGCTATATATATAGAGAGAGATTTTGTTTTATATGGTGCACCCCCCAAAAAATTTGTACACCTTTTTTTTTTAGGTTGGGTGCACCAGTGAACATATTCTCAAAAATGAATTTTGAGCCCTGATATAGGATCTATGTAATACCTTGACTATTGGCACATCCCTGGCTTGTACGAGGAGTCTGTGAACATCCTCGATGTGTTGTCTGACCAGCGGGGGGACAGGGTTACAGCAGGCAAACACACCCTGTGTCTGCTTGGGTAATGCCTCCGCTAACACTAACAACATGTGGTTGGGCAGAATGTACCTAAGTAAAGAGACAAGATAGATTTAAGTTTCAGACTATACATTCACAATTACAGTACAGATTTTCACTTAGCTATTATTTCAAATCCAGAAAGGAAGGAAAAAGAAATACATGTAAGGACACAAGTCTGAAGATTGCAAACCCTATCAAATTCACTTTCCAATAACTTCTGCTTTAGATAGAATTTCTCCTTCTTAGCTCTGTCAGTAAACATATAATTTTGTGCTTTGTGTCACTGCAAAGGTATCATTGATATTCATACTGAAAAATATGATGCATAGTCCAGAGACTAAAGAATGTTAGGGCCAGTTTTGTAACATTTCCTTTAAACACTTACCCTGTACTTTCATCTTCTTGTCTGGCCACTGTGTCTCTCCACCGATACAACAGTCTCACTGCATGGAGCTACAATTACAGACAAAATACATGGGAAAACTCTTATTAATAATAAGTAATAAAAGGACATTTCTGTTATAATGCCTCATTTTAAAAACAAGAGAAACAGGCTGATATACACCTACAGTTAAAGTCAAATCTATGCAAATCTTTTAGGATTTACATTTATAGTGTAGAGGCCTGTGGCAGGGGGGGAAATGATACTATCCCATCGTCCTTTGCAATACACATCCCACAACACGTGTCCCAGATGGCTGACTGTCAGCACCAGGCATATAGTCTTGTCATGTTTCCTTTAAAAGTGCAGCAATGGCAACAATTTGACCAGTAATTTTTGGTTCTTTGAATTATCAAAGGACTCAAGTAGTGTATGAGGCTATCTGACTTTTGTAACTTATGTACAACTTCTTACATTGTGTCTTAAACATTTATGCAAGCATTAGCTTCAAAAATGGTGCTCAAACTTCACCAAACTAAAGTGCTTTTCTACAAACTCTGTTGATTGGTGATATTATATATCTTG